GGAAATATAGCATATTTTTTAAATTCTGTATCTTTAAATATAGAAATAAAGTTAAAAACAGTTAAACAGAGGCCAGGCATCATGGATGGCACATGGGTTTATAATCTGTAACTCTAGTTCCAGGGGATCTGATGCCTTTTTCTGGCTTCCATGGGTACTGCACACATGTAGTGCACATACATGCAGGCAAAACACATATACACTATTTTAAAATAGTCTTAAAAAAAAAAAGCCTCAGTACTAAGTAGTATGAAGATTAGTGATATGGGATTGAGCCAGTGTTTGGACATTGCCTAATATGTGACACTTGAGTTTAATCTTTTTTGGGGGGGGAGGAGGGATGAAACAGGGCTTCTCTTTTTACCCTGGCTGTCCTGGAACTCCTCTGTAGAGCAGCATGCCACTTTCACGGAAACAGTTAAAAATTTACAGCCTTTCCTTCTACTTGGTTAGTGTTTAAACTTAAATTCTGCTAGTTTCTAAAAGTGCTACCGTCCCTTTGATCCCTCCAACCACACAGACCTTTATAAACCTAAATAACTCATAACTCTACAAAGGTTTTTTTTTTTTGTTTTTTTAAGATTTTTGTTTTATTAATTCCATGTAGATGTTGGGGAAGGGGTAGCTGTGCATGTGAGTACAGTACCCAGATGTCAGAAGAGGACATCCGATTCCCTGGAACTCTACAAAGGTTTTTTTTTGTTTGTTTTTTAAGATTTTTGTTTTATTAATTCCATGTAGATGTTGGGGAAAGGGTAGCTGTGCATGTGAGTACAGTACCCAGATGTCAGAAGAGGACATCAGATTCCCTGGAACTCTACAAAGGTTTTTTTTTGTTTGTTTTTTAAGATTTTTGTTTTATTAATTCCATGTAGATGTTGGGGAAAGGGTAGCTGTGCATGTGAGTACAGTACCCAGATGTCAGAAGAGGACATCCGATTCCCTGGAACTCTACAAAGGTTTTTTTTTTGTTTGTTTTTTAAGATTTTTGTTTTATTAATTCCATGTAGATGTTGGGGAAGGGGTAGCTGTGCATGTGAGTACAGTACCCAGATGTCAGAAGAGGACATCAGATTCCCTGGAGTAGGAGTTGCAGCGCTTGTGAGCCACACAACATAGGCAATGGGAACTTGGGTCACCTCTAAGAGCAGTTACGTTCTCTTAACCACTGATGCATGTCTCCAACACTACCAGCCCCACACAAAAATGTTTTGAGACAGGGTCTCCTTAAGTAGTCCTAGCCGGCCTAGCACTCTCTCTGTCTATCAGGCGGCCCTAGAAATCACAGAGATCTCAGGCCTGTCTCTGCCTCCCAAGTATCGGATTATAGACGTATCCCATCATGGGCATCTCTCTGTAGCTCTGGCTGTCCTGGAACTCACTCTGTAGACCAGGCTAGCCTGAAACTCAGCGATCTTCCTGACTCTTGAGTGCTAGGATTAAAAGCATGCGCCACCACTGCCCAGCCCAAGATCTTTTTTAATTCACACATAAAAGACACTCAGCATCACTCGACAATCACAGAAATATAAATAAAAACAACAATTTATGGCTGGGATATAGCTGAGCTGGTATAGTGCTTGTCTAGAATGTAGGAAGTCCTAGGTTCATTCCCAGCACCACGAAACTCCATGTATGGTACCATGACAAAGGCCTGTTAATTCAATACTCTGAAGGTAGAAACAGGAGAATCTGTTTAAAGTTATTCTCAGCTCCGTAGTCTGAGGCCTTCATGACATACATGAGACCTGTTGCAAAAAAGCAAAAACTAAAATGAAGAATTTGGGATATTTATACATGAATGTTCTGCAAGCAGTCTGGCAGTTTCTCAAATGACTAAACATTAAGTTGTCAATCAAACCAAGAATTAGTTTCTAGAGAGGTGAAAACGTATGTCCACACAAAGCATACACAATGGATGACTGTATAGAGTTCAGGAGTAGAGAGCTTGCCTAGGATATGCAAAGTCCTGGGCTAGATCCCAACATCATCAAAAAAATAATTATGTATAAGTGCTCTTATCAACATTATTCATAACAGCCAAGAGTGGGAAACCATACATGTCTATTAAGTCATAAATACAACATGGTAAAACGAGACAATGAAATATTAGTTGGCAGTAAATAAGAAAGGGAAGCATGGCTAAAGTATTAATCTTGAAACGCTGTATTAAATAAAAAATTAATAGTGACGGAAGACCTCATTAAATGGTTTCATTTACATGAAACACTCAGGAAAGTAGTTTGAGGGTTGCCTCGGCCACAGCAAAGATGGAGAAACAGAAGGTACCTATCACTAGGTAGTAGGTTTCTTTTGAAATGATAAATAATCTAAAATCTAATGTGATGTCTCTAGTACTTTCTGGAAATGCGGAACTACTGAATTTATAGTTTTAAGTGGGTGGACTGAAAGACGAATTATCTCACTAAGGCTGCTGTGTTTTCTTTCCCAGAACACAAACCAGGCACATGGCACACACTGTAATACTGCACTCGGGAGTTGAGAGATAAGAGGGTCAGAAATTTAAGGTCATCATTACCTATATGTCAAGATCAAAACCAGGCTGGGCTAACATGACAACTGTCTCAATTTTCTTATTGTTTTTAGAGAACACTATATCCTACCAAAAAATGATCCATAATTTTATCAATTATACTATTCTTTCAACATATATATGTTCAACATACATATATACATATATATGTATATATACATATATATACATACATATATATGTATATGTGTGTGTGTATGTAATATATATATATATGGGTTTTTCTGAGACAGGGTTTCTCTGTATTGTTTGGGAGCCTGTCCTGGAACTCGCTCTGTAGACCAGGCTGGCCTTGAACTCACAGAGATCTACCTGGCTCTGCCTTCCAAGTGCTGGGATTAAAGGTGTGCGCCACCACTGTACGGCTTCAGCTTCTTTCAATATTTTTAAAAATTCACTCCAAGGGCTGGAGAGATGGCTCAAGTAGTTAAGAGCACTGGCTGGTCTTCCAGAGGTCCTGAGTTCAATTCCCAGCACCCACATGGAGGCTTACAACTGTCTATGGGATCTGATGTGCAGGTGTACATGCAGACAAATATATATATAATAAATCTTTTAAAAAATTCATTCCAAGACATCATACTTCATAGTTACAATAAAAAATTTGTTGACAGAAGATTTTTTTTTCCCTGAATGGTTATGCCAAAATTAGTTTATTTATATCACTTTTATTATTAAAAAAAATGCGGCCGGGCGGTGGTGGCGCACGCCTTTAATCCCAGCACTCAGGAGGCAGAGCCAGGCGGATCTCTGTGAGTTCGAGGCCAGCCTGGACTACCAAGTGAGTTCCAGGAAAGGCGCAAAGCTACACAGAGAAACCCTGTCTCGAAAAACCAAAAAAAAAAAAAAATGCTCTATAATCAAGCCTATTGGTGTACAATCTTTGTACCTAGCCAATTCTAAAATGAGTTGAGTCAAAGGATTATCCTGAAAACATTAATGCAGGAAAAGAAGAAAAAAGAATCCCTCCCTGGGGACAGAACCTCACAGAATCAGTAAAATGGGGTCCAGATTAGTTTGTAGATATTATTACCAATTCCCAAGAGACACTTTATGTGGTGACAGCTGACTGACTGTTCAAAAAACATTCAAAGGCTGGGTGTGGTGACAGAAACCATAAATCCCAGCACACTGGAGGTAGAAGCAGGAGGATCCCTGTGACTTTAAGGCCATCCAGGTCTGTCCTGGTCCTGGACAGTTGGGGCACTGAAGAAAGACCCTGTCTCAAAAAATAAAGAAAAATTCAACAGTAGTATGACATCAAAGGCTGCAGATGCAGAACAGCTTAATGTCTGCCTCCAGTACATGAAGCCTTGAGTCCAATCTCCAGTGCCACATCAAATGAAATTTGTTACGCCAGCCTAAGTGAAGAAGAGACAGAAGGACCAGACAGAAGAACAGAAGTTCAGTCCTACTTGTCTACACAGCAAGTTCAAGGTCAGTCTGGAATACAAGAGACTCTGTTTCAAAAAGTACACAGAACAGGTTAGGGAGACGGCTGAGCAGTTTAGAGGACTGGCTCCAGACAGGTTTTGATTCTCAGCACCCACACACACAGTGGCTCACAACTCCAGTCCCAGGAGATCCAATGCCCTTTCTGGCTGCTACAGGCACCATGCACACATGTGGTGCAGAGACAGGCATGCGGACAAAACATCCATCACCCACAATATGAACTTTTAAAAAAACTTTAAATATTTTATACTATATAATAGCATTTAATTTTATAGAAAGAAATGATTCATTAGACAATGAAATACACAAGTATAGTAGCACTAAGTGCCATGAACCTGCTGCTATATTCAGATTAATCACATAGCCCATCTTATGGTGTGGTGGGAGTCATAATACACATCTAACATTGTCACATGTAGCTATGGTGGTAGGAGTTAAGAAAGAAGTTGGATGGAATTACTATTGTAAAAGGAAATAAAAAACTCAATTCTATGACTCCTTCCTTCATTTCTTCCTCGTGACCACCATTAACTCCCCATGTAACTTCAATCTTGAAACTGAATTAGGCAGGTTTTAAAACAATTTATACAACATATATTTTTAAGATTCCTACAGCTAAACATTCAACTTTTATATTAAAAGCACTAAGAACAGCAAAATAACTATTACAATTTCAGATTTCAGAGAAATTCAGCTAAGAGTACTGCTTCAGATAGCCAGAATAGTTAAAAAAGAAAAAAAAAAACAAAACTCAGAGAAACACTGTAAGTAGCAGCTTCAAAAAAAATATGTAGTGCCAAGTGGTGATGGCGCACACCTTTAACCCAGTACTCAGGAGGCAGAGGCAGGCAGATCTCTGTGAGTGCTAGGCCAACCTGGTCTACAAAGCGAGTTCCAGGACAGCCAGGGCTGTTACAAAGAGAAACTTTTTGTCTCAAAAAAAACAAAGGAAAAAAAGAAAACAATATGTTACTATTAATTTTAAATTTATATAAATATACATTTATGGGGCGTCGTACGCGTGGAGTGCGGTCAGTCGTGTTTCTCAGGTAAAGCATGGCTAAAAGCTTACGGAGTAAGTGGAAACGGAAGATGCGGGCAGAGAAGAGAAAGAAGAATGCCCCACGGGAGCTCAACAGACTTAAAAGTATTCTCAGAGTTGACGGTGATGCTCTGATGAAGGATGTCGAGGACATAGCAACTGTGGTGGTCCCCAAACAGTGCCAGGGGAAAATGCAGTGTACGGTGGACGATGAAAAGGAAGACACAAAAATGGAGACTGAACTGAAGAGAAACAAGAAGACCCTTCTAGACCAGCATGGACAGTACCCAGTGTGGATGAACCAGAGGCAGAGGAAAAGACTGAAGGCAAAGAGAGAGAAAAAACGGGGGAAAAGCAGAGCCAAGGCAGCGAAGGGCCTGGCCTGGTAGACCCTTGAGAACTGGAAAGTGGTGGTGCACGTGCCTTTAATCCCAGCCCGCAGGAGGCAGACAGGCAGAGCTCCGTGAGTTCGAGGCCAGCCTGGTCTACAAAGCAGGTGCCAGGACAGCCTGGACTGTTACACAGAGAAACCTTGTCTCAAAAAATCACAAAAAAAAAAAAAAAAAAGAAAGAAAGAAAGAAAAACTGGAAAGTGTTCATGGGAAAGAAGTTCAGTTGTTAGGAATGTCTTCACTGATTTCAGCTCTCACTAAATGGAAGCGATTTGTTTTCATATTTTAGTTTGGTCTTATATCTGTAATTCAAATCCAGAATAATTGATTTGTTTTGGGAACTTGAATAAATTACCTTCCGTGATGAAAAAAAATATATATATACATTTATTATATCTTATACATCTAATATACATAATTATATCTGCATATATAATAACTATATATATCTTCTATATAAAACACAAAACATGAGTTACTATTAATTTAAATAAATCCAAGAAAATATTATCAAAAACCTGTTAAAGCTTTACAATATGTGTTGTATGTGTGTGTTTGAGTATGCCTCTGTTCAGGTGGGTGTGCGGGTGTCAATGAGGATGCCAGGCTGTCTTCAGTTGTCCTCTACCGTGTAATGTGCTCACAGATTGGGCTATAGAGCTGATCAACTTACAGAAGCACACCACTGCCCTCGGGTTTTCACATGGTTATTGGGAACTGAGCTCAGGTCTTCACGCTTAGTCCACACTTTACTGACAGAGCCATCTCCCCAGCCCAAAGCGATACATTTTTAAATACTTAATGGTTAGCACATGCCAAACATATTACATGTCCAAGTCTTTTATGTAACACCCTGTATGCACCCCAAACTTCCAAGGTAGATTCTATTATCATTCTTACTCTGCAAATTAAGAAAAGGCCTGCCCAAGGTCATGTAACAAGTAAATGACTGATTTCTAATCTAGCTGTATTTAGTATTGTCCAGTATGTTAGCAGAAAATTCATAAACAGAGGACTTTAGCACAAGAGCTTTCCATTATCAAATATTTAATAGCTAGGACATGTCAGCCCCTTAAGTGATGACAAGATAGGGTCGTTTGGGCTCTCTAATTGTAGTCAAAGAAAGGGAAACAAAATTCACGCATCATTCCAATAGAGAATATAAATACAAACAGGATGAACTGAGCTAAGATCTGACTGACTTCAATATCTGACAGCATAACCTTTCCAGAAAAAAAAGCAGAAAACTCTCAGACAAGGTAAAAGAAGGCAGTGAAAAAAAAAAGCACTGTGGGCTGGCTGGGGAGTTGGCTCAGTGATTGAAGTCTTGCTACACAAGCCTGAGAACATGAATTTAGGTCCCCAGATCCCACATAAAGGTAGAAACAGAAAAACTGACCCCATAAAGTTACCCTCTTTGTGCCCCCCCCACCACACATAAACCATGCTCTAACATACAATCAAAACTTGTGGTTAGAAACACCGACTCCCTCAGGCTGGAGAGATGGCTCAGAGGTTAAAAACACTGGCTGCTCTACCAGAGGTCCTGAATTCAATATCCAGCAACCACATGGTGGCTCATAAACCATCTATAATGAGATCTGGTGCCCTCTTCTGGCACAACACTGTATACATAATAAATAAATAAATATTAAAAAGAGAAACACCGACTCCCATGGTTTTTTTTTTTATGGTCTTTTTGTTTCATTATTGTCTGTTTGCTTTTTGTTTTGTTTTAGCTGTGAGAGAGAAAACATAAAGTGGAGTGGGTAAACACAGGTTAGTTCATACAGGGCCTCATAACATTCATTGCTAGCTCGTCATTTAAGTTATTGGTAATATTAATAGGGAGTCAGTGAAGATTTTTGGACCAGGAAATGGCATGATCTGATTAAAATACAAAGATAACTTTGATTACATATCTGGAGTACACCAATGTAAAAACACTTATAGGAAGGATTACAGCATGAACTTGAGCATGAACTTGAGGGCAATCAGGAGTTTGTGGGAAATGGGAGAGATTATCTACTATGAAATTAAGGTTAACATATAGACCAGTGTTTCTTAACTTGTGGATTGCATCAGATATCTTGCATATCTGATATTTACATTACGATTCACAAAAGTAGCAAAACTACAGTTATAATTTTACAGTAGCAACCATTTTATAATTACAATAGCAACAAAATAATTTTATGGCCGGGGTCACCACAACATAAGGAACTGTATTAAAGAGTCACTTTACGAAAGTTGAGAAGCACTGACCTAGACTTTTGAGTCTGGTAATGCAAAAGTTTTTTTAACTGGGTCCGTATCAGAACCACTTACTAAAAATCAGTTTTGACTAAGCTAGGTCTAAGATACCATGCACGGTCAGTATACCTAAGAGGTCAGGGTCTAGTATTCAAAACTTGACTTCCGCAAATATATAAATGACACAAAAGGCTTAAGGAGAATCAGATTTTTGTACGTTGGGAAAATAATACAGTAACCACTGAATTCTACTCTAAATGCACACAAGCAAATCTTTAAGGCCAGGAATGGTGATGAACAATTTTAATCCTAGCTATCCAAAGACAGGGGCAGGTCAATCTGTGAATTCAAGGCCTGCCTGGTTTACACAGCAAGTTCCAGGCCAATCAGAGCTATAAATAAATTTTAAAATAAATCAGTTATGAGTTAGTATACGTCTCCTGAATTACTACTTCTTTATCTATATTCTTCCTTCCCCATCTCTCTAAACTCCTGGTTATTACAATAGACTTCCATCTTAGAAAAATACAAATTTAAAAATTCAAATAAATAATTACCCTCCCAAATTTTGGGAACACAAAAGACCATCATACACCTAGTTCATCATTAATTTATTTTAAAGAATTGTTTTTTAAAAAAAGTTAAATAACCACAACTGTAGCTAGAGTTTTCCTGCCTGGCCCACAGTCAGGACAAATCTCTATCACCTGCCAGTCCCACAGCCACTCAGACCCGACCAAGTAAACACAGAGACTTATATTGCTTATAAACTGTATGGCCGTGGCAGGCTTCTTGCTAACTGTTCTTACAGCTTAAATTAATCCATTTCCATTAATCTATACCTTGCCACGTGGCTCGTGGCTTACTGGCATCTTCACATGCTGTTTCTCATTGTGGCGGCTGGCAGTGTCTCTCACTCAGCCTTCCACTTCCCAGCTTTATTCTCCTCCTTGTCCTGCCTATACTTCCTGCCTGGCCACTGGCCAATCAGTGATTTATTTATTGACTAATCAGCAACACACAACAATATGGATATAGCAGCACTGTCTTTCCAAAGGTAAAAGGTATGTATATCCACTGTAGATTAAAATATTATAAATCTACTTTGAAATAAAAATATTATTAACTTCCCAGGTGGAGGTGGTGTACACCTTTAATCCCAGCACTCAGGAGCAGAGGCAGGCAGATCTCTTTGAGTTCGAGGCCAGCCTGGTTTACAATAGCCTTCAATCAGTTTCATGTGGTTAACAAGAAAGAAAACAGTTCAACATTCCGCTGTATAGAATACTAACTTCCTTTACCCAATCAGTTCTCTAGGCATACACCCACCTGGGGCAGGTCAGACAGACTGCCTCTGGTGATCACAGAAACACACAGGACACTATCTAGCGTCCTGCTTCTCTTCTTCACACCATTCATGTGGCTAGTAAGACCTAACACAGTGCCAGGTAGTCCTTATTTTACTAACAAAGAATTCTCAAAGCCTTGCTACTTGCATCCATCCATCACTCTTGAAAAAGTGGATATTACTAAGAGGATAACTTTTTGATCACATAGCATCTATTTTTTTTCACTTTTTTTAACTCTGAAAACTTCATACATGTTGACAGCATGCACATTTTGATCACTTCCACCCCTCATTCCCTGTGTCCAACTTCCCCTTTAATTTCTCCCTTAATGTCTTTAATAGACTGTCTTTAATCTCTACCTTAAAACAAGAGTGCCCAGTCAGGCATGAGGGCACATTTATATCCCAGCACTTCAGAGGCAGAGGCAGATGGATCTCTTTGAGTTTAATACCAACCAAGTCTACACAGTGAGTTCTAAGCCAGGGATACACAGTGATATCCTGTCTCAAAAACAAACAACAAATGTCCCCAACGTTGAATTGAAAAATAAATTTAAAAATTTTTAAAGGGGACTTAAAAGGCTTATTATAAAATTTCAAGATCACTTTTAAGTTTACTATCTCAGCCCAGATACAGTGGCATTTTATCCTCTAACATGGGAGGCAAACACCGGCTGATCTCTGTGAGTTCAGGCTTGCCTGGTCTACATGGAACAAAAGAGGCCAGCCAGGGGTACATAATGAGACCCTGTCTTTAAAAACATAGCAAAGTTTTCTACTTCATCGTCACTTCCCCTTGAAATTTGAAATCTCCACTTGCTTTTCGTTCTATGCCTAACCTCTGCAAAACGAACTGTCATTTGAGCTGAAAATGTGAACAGGACTTACGTCTCATGGGTTCCAAAAAAGAAAATGGGTAGTTTGTTTGTGGGTGGTTTCACTGCTCCATCAGGAACTTCATCTACCTAAAAGAAAGATCAAAAAAGTTAAGTTTTTTAAATGTTACACATCTCAGCACACATGAGTGAACTCAGAATGAAATACCCCAAATGGATCTGATACAAAATCAAGTCACTTTACAAATCCATTCAAATAAGTTCTAAAAGGCAAGTTTTTTTCCCCAGAACTCATTTGGTAGCAAAACCTGTACCACGCCCACCCCACCCCACCCCACCCCTTTTTTTTCTTTTTTTGGTTTTTTGAGACAGGGTTTCTATGTGTAGCCCTGGCTGTCCTGGAACTCTCTGTAGACCAGGCTGTCCTGCTGTCCTTGAACTCAGAGATCCACCTGCCTCTGCCTCCCAAGTGCTGGAGTTAAAGGCTGTGGCACAACTGTCCAGCCCAATAGCAAATCTTAAGGCAGTGTACCACGATTAGCTTTCCTAAACCCAGTTACTTAATTTTTAACCACATCTGACACCAAGCATTTCCTACAGGGCGTCTCAATCCTGCAGGAGGGCTATAAAATCTAAGAGTAATGTGAGGCTAGAGAAGTGGCTCAGTGGTTAAGAGCACTTGCAACTCTCCCAAAGGATCTGGGTTCACACCCGCATCAGCCCGTCAATCACTTTTTCTAGGGGTCTGTCACCCTCTTCTGGCCTCCTCAGGTACTCACATACATATGGCATACAAACATACACACAGAAATAAATTTTTTAAAAAATGTAAAAGACAGGAAAGCATTACTTCCCAATGTTTGAGTAACAATAAGAGTCAGAAAAATGCTGGGCTGTGGTAGAGCATGCCTTTAATCCAGGACAGCCAGGGCTGTTAAACAG